ATATGGAGGGGAACCAAAAATATGGTCCGGATGCCATGATTTCTAAATTTTTACCTATTAAAGTTATCACAAAGCTAAGTAAGTAGTAAGCTTTTTTAATAAGCTAGTTCCAGGCATAGTGGCATATGCCTGTAATTCTAGGCCTCTAAGGTGGAAGATTGCCAGTTTGAGACTGGCCTGGGCTATATAGAAGACCTTGTCTCCAAACCATAACCACCAAAAAAAAAGCCTTAATAATTTTTATCTATAAAATCAAGAGAACTGAAAGGAATGTGCTTGGCAGTGGGAGAAAGAGTTGCTGGTGAGTCCTGTAGCCACTGAGAAAGTAAGCCCAGGCTCCTTATTCAGAGAAAGTGAACTTTATTGTCCTGGAAGAGACCTTCCAAGGGGAGGACAAGAGATGTTCACTTCAGCATGCGTTCATCTGAAGCTCAGTGTGTGGCAGGCACCGCTCAAGAATGATCACAGCAGTGATAAACAGATAAAAAGCCTTTCCTGCGCAATGCTTACACTTCTAATAAAGAAGACAAAACAAAGCAAAACAACAACAAAACCCCACAAATGTATAAAGTGTACTAGATGGTGATTGCCGTGAAGAAAAATAAATCCAGTGGAGAGTGGGTTATAGGAGTGGGTAGAAGTTGGTAGCTATGAAAGACTGGTCTCAGAAGACGTCTCTGAAAGAAACATTTGCACTGAAGGCATTATGCAGGCAAAGGCGTAACCACAGGTATGCCTGGAAGAGGTACATTCCAGGCACAGCCAGCCAAAGGAATCCCCAAGATGGGATTGAACAGGATTGAACAAAGGAATCCCCAAAATGGATTGAACAGGGAGGCAGTCATGGGAATTGTACCAGAAGAGGAAACTGGCCAAATCGTCTTAGTCTTTTATAGGCCATTATACTGATTTTTTAGGTTTGATTTTGCTGTTATTGCTATGGCTATCTTTACTAAATGTAAAGAGGAACTGTACATATTCTGAATTATTAGCTCAATGAATTGTCATGAAATGAATACCTGTGTATACACACACAAATAAAGACAGAACACCGTTATCTACACCCTAAATTCCCCTCTTCTGGGGCCTCCTGCTCACTGCCCCTCCTTCCTTTCCAAAGGTAGCCATTCTCCTGATTTCTGACTGTACAGAGTTGTCTTGGTTGGTTTTAATTTTAAATACCTGGAATACAACTTGGGGGAGCCTTTTGAACTCAAGATTTTGCTTGTTATATTTTACTCATGTGATGCTGAGAGGAAAGAGATGTGGCGATGACCAACAGGCGTGTGTCAAAAGGCTGATGAGAAGCATGCAGCACTGACGGGGGCGTGTGATGGCAATGCTGATGTGCCTGGTAACCAGATGGTGATTCAGGAAAGAAAGCAGAAGCGCAAACTCATGTAGGAGCTGAGTAAATGTCAGGAGTCTCGAGGCATCCTCTCTGGGACACCCCAAAAATGCACACGCCTATGCAACTCTTCCTTGGAAAATAAGAGACCCCAAGAAAATTAAAGTCACCATCATGGTTACTGGTTGGCTGACAGACAAACATTTCCATGGATCATACCCTGTGTCAGACACTGTACAGAGTGCTAAGTAGTGAGTCTGGCACACAAGAATAATCACAGCATGTCAATCAGACAAGTAAGCAGACCCCTAGAAAACAGAGTAATGCATGCTAAGAATTTAGCACTGACACTAAAGGGGCATCTCCATTAAGAGCTGTAATGTTGGGGCTGGAGAGATGGCTCAGCAGCTAAGAGCACAAGCTGCTCTCTCTCGGAGGACTCAGGTTTGATTCCAGTACCAACTTGGAAACCTACAACTATCTGTAACTCCCTTTCCAGGCGACCGAACTTCCTTTTCTGGCCTCCATAGGCACCAGGCGTACACACAAGCAAAACACCTATTCACAGTTTTTAAAGCCTGAGTTTGAATGCTGGCTCTGCTGGTTTTTAGATGTACACCAAGGAAAGGCAGTTAACCTCTCTATATCTCAGTCTTTCTGTCCATAAACAGACTTTTTGTTTATCTTCCTCAAAGGCTGTTATCAACATCAAATGAAATAATGCATGCAAGGAACTGTATATGCAGCAGATCAACGTTTTTTTGTTTGTTTGTTTGTTTGGCTGTTTGGATTGCCCAAGCATGGTGCACAGACAGACATTAAGTGAATTGTAAATGACTGCCTGTGACCATACTGCCATCAGCAAAGCCCTGCAATTGTTGGAGTTTGTGCCAAGGGGTTAATATAGCTCCTCATCCCTCACAGACTGGTGCCAAAAGATTTCAAAGGCTGAGGTCACCAAAGTATGACCAGCCAGGGGAGAAGGAGGCTACAAGTCAGGGTCATCTAACTAGACCAACTGCCCATTAGCCAAGACTGCCAGATATTTCACTGGAGGTGGCGACACTGAGAGAGTAATTGTCTACTGCAACACTTCTCCCCTCCCGGTCCCACCCTCCCTCCCCCTTCTCCACGCATGCCCCTCCCCAAGTCCACTGAGAGGGGAGGACCCCTCTCCTTCCTTCTGATCTTAGTCTATCAGATCTCATCAGGAGTGGCTGTATTGTTATCTTCTGTGGCCTGGTAAGGCTGCTCCCCCCTCAGGGGAGGTGATCAGAGAGCAGGCCAATTAGATTATGTCAGAGGCAGTCCCTCTTCCCATTACTATGGAACCCACTTGGACACTGAACTGCCATAGGCTACATCTGTGAGGGGGTTCTAGGTTATCTCCATGCCTGGTACTTGGTTGGAGTATGAGTCTCTGAAAAGACCCCTGTGTTCAAATTTCTGGTTCTGTTGCTCTCCTTGTGGAGTTCCTGTCCTCTCCAAATCTTACTATTCCCCACTTCTTACATAAGATTCCATGCACTCTGCCCAACAGTTGGCCATAAGTCTCAGCATCTGCTTTGATAGTCTGCAGGGCAGAGCCTTTCAGAGGCCCTCTGTAGCGGGTTTCTAGCTTGTTTCCTGTTTTCTTCTTTTGATGTCCTTCCTCTTTGCCTTTCAGGATGGGGATTGAGCATTTTAGTCAGGGTCCTCTCTCTTGATTAGTTTCTTTAGATGTACAGATTTTAGTAGGTTTATCTTATATTACATGGCTATATGAATGAGTATATACCGTGTATGTCTTTCTGCTTCTGGGACAGCTCACTCAGGATGATCCTTTCCAGGTCCCACCATTTACCTGCAAAATTCATGATTTCCTTATTTTTCATTGCTGAGTAATATTCCATTGTGTAGACATACCACAATTTCTGCATCCATTCTTCAGTTGAGAGGCATATGGGCTGTTTCCAGCTTCTGGCTATTACAAATAAAGCTGCTACAAACATGGTTGAGCAAATGTCCTTATTGTGTACTTGAGCCTCTTTTGGATATATGCCTAGGAGTGGTATGGCTGGATCATGAGGAAGCGCTATTCCTAGTTGTCTGAGAAAGCACCAGATTGATTTCCAGAGTGGTTGTACAAGTTTACATTCCCATCAGCAGTGGAGGAGGGTTCCCCTTTCTCCACAGCCTCTCCAGCATGTGTTGTCACTCGAGTTTTTCATCTTAGCCATTCTAATGGGTGTAAGGTGAAATCTCAGTCAGGGTCGTTTTGATTTGCATTTCCCTGATGGCTAATGAGGTTGAGCATTTCTTTAAGTGTTTCTCTGCCATTCTATATTCCTCTACAGAGAATTCTCTGTTTAGCTCTGTTCCCCATTTTTTAATTGGATTACTTGGTTTGCTGCTTTTCAGTTTCTTTAGTTCTTTATATATACTGGATATTAGCCCTCTGTCAGATAAAGGGTTGGTGAAGATTCTTTCCCAATCTGTAGGCAGTCGTTTTGTTTTGATGACGGTGTCCTTTGCTTTACAGAAGCTTTTCAGTTTCATGAGGTCCCATTTATTGATTGGGACCTTAGAGCCTGCTGTTGGTGTTCTGTTCAGGAAGTTGTCTCCTGTATCAATGAGTTCTAGGGTATTCCCCACTTTTTCTTCTAACCGATTTAATGTGTCTGGTTTTATGTTGAGGTCTTTGATCCACTTGGGCTTTAGTTTTGTTCAGGGTGATAAGTATGGATCTATTTGCATTTTTCTACATGTAAACATCCAGTTAGACCAGCACCATTTGTTGAAGATGGTATCTTTTTTCCATTGTATGGTTTTGGCACCTTTGTCAAAAATCAGGTGTCCGTAAGTGTGTGGGTTTATTTCTGGGTCTTCTGTTCGATTCCATTGATCCACCATCTCCTATGCCAGTACCATGCAGTTTTTATTACTATTGCTCTATAGTACAGCTTAAGATCAGGGATGGAGATACCTCCAGATGATCTTTTATTGTAGAAGATTGTTTTAGCAATTCTGGGTTTCTTGTTATTCCATATGAAGTTGAAATTTTTTCTTTCCAGGTCTGTAAAGAATTGTGTTGGTAATTTGATGGGAATTGCATTGAATCTGTAGATTGCTTTTGGTAAGATGGCCATTTTTACTATGTTAATCCTGCCAAGCCATGAGCATGGGAGATCTTTCCATCTTCTCATATCTTCTTCTAATTCTTTCTTCAGAGACTTGAAATTTTTCATACAAGTCTTTGACTTGCTTGGTTAGGGTTACACCAAGGTACTTTATGTCATTTGTGGCTATTGTGAAGGGTGTTGTTTACCTAATTTCTTTCTCAGCCCTTTTGTCTTTTATATACAGGAGGGCTACTGATTTTTTTTTTTTAGTTAATTTTGTATCCAGCCATTTTCTGAAGGTGTTTATCAGCTGTAGGAGTTCCCTGGTAGAGTTTTTGGGGTCACTCAGGTATACTATCCTATCATCTGCAAATAGTGATAATTTGACTCCTTCCTTTCCAATTTGAATCCCCTTGATCTCCTTCAACTGTCTTATTCTCTGGCCTTCTTCTAAAGAGCTTCAACGGACTGTCAGAATTAAGAGAAAGGATCCAGGAACGGGAGGGGATTGTGTGAGAAATATCTCTAGCCCTCTCCTTCTGCGTTTACAGGGAATGAAGTTTCCCAAAGCGGCCCAGCCCTGCTGCCCGTGAATGGTGTTCTAGGGGAGTCTGCTACTCTTCCTCTGACGCTTCCTGCGGGAAAGATGACCAGTCTAATCATCTGGAATTATGGAAGAGAGGCGTCACCGGTCACTACAATCCTCGTCATCCACCTAAATAAGTCTGCAAGACCAGAGATCATACCAGCTGATCCGCAGAGAAGGGAGCGGCTGAGCGCCACAGAGTCCTACTTGAAGCTCAGCAACCTCACGATGGCAGACACGGGAACGTACAGTGCACAGATAACCACAGAGGGCTCTGAGCTGGTCGTCTCCACTTACACCCTGAGAGTCTTCGGTGAGTCCAAATACAGCATTTGGTCATGTATAAACTAAAAAACCAAGCAAAAAAAGAAAAAAAAATCCAAATCACATATTTCAATCCTATGTTTAGAAGAGTGCACTGTAGCCTAGTAATAAAGGGGATGGCATTTGGCATCGCAGTGAGGTCCAGAAGGAAAGCAGTTATAGAACACCGCGCAGCAGACCTGAGCTAAAAACTGCCTTGTGGCTACACCAACCACCTCACTTCCCTGTTACACCAGAAATGTGCAGTTAATGGCAGCAAAACACTTAAGGGTACATGCGCAGTGGGTCTCTATCACACGCTCCTTACAAAGGCTCTACGAGGCGTGCGCAATGCTGTGCCCAAAGCACAGCCTTGGTCACGGTCTCAGGGATGATAAGTGGTAGCACTTCCACGTGACTGACCCATCTCACTTGACCCAAAGGACAAGCGAACCCAGCAAAGTTGTCTCCTCAGAAAGCGCTCTGCACTGGTGAGCCAGCTAACAGAAAAACTAATAGGAAAAGTTATAGAAAAGCTTTTCTACCGAGGTTATTTAATTTCTAACCGTGATTTTTCTCCAGATGCCTTATATTGATCATTAATTAAAAAAAAAAAAAACTGCCTTACTAACTGGAGTGATGATGCCCATCTGTGAACCCAACATGTGGGAAGTTGAGGCAGGAAGATCAGGAGCTTAAGGCCAGACTGTCTCAAATAAATAAATTGACCTCCCTAATATTAAAGAATGAAAGTGTTTTCAACATAAAATTATAGAAACAATCATGAGATTACGTTATTGATCTAGACTAATAGCCTAATGAAATATCTAGCTGCCATAGAATATTTTATAGGAGATCAAGCACTAAATTGGCTACCCAAGGGCAGGGAGATGGCTCAGTAGATAGGTAAAAGTGCTTGCTGCCAAGTCTGATAACTTGAATTTGATTTCCAGGGCCAAAGCGAAAGGAGAGAACCAACTCTTACAAGTTGTCCTCTGTCCTCCAAATGCATACCACGGCACTCATGCACACACACACACACTCCACAGAGAGAGAAAAAAAAAACATAAATGGTGATGACGCACACCTTTGATTCCAGCATTCTGGAGGCAGACGCAGGTGGATCTCTGAAAGTTCAAGGCCAGCCTGATCTACACTGTGAGTTCCAGGACAGTCAGGACTTTGTGTAGAGACCCTGTCTCAAAACATAAATAAATAAATAAACTTACAGTGTGCAATCAGTGCTAAGGATAAAAGGAGTGGAGGATCGGGGTATCAGGGAACAGGGCAGGGAATGGGACTACAGCCTAAAACTAGGTCCCTGAGCAAGTTAGAAAGTGCTCTATCACTGAATATACACCGGGCCCAAGGAATCATTTTAGAGGAAGCACCTAGCACTAGGCTAGAAGACACAGAAAAAAACCTGGAACTTGCTGGACCAAGTAAGCTCCAGGTTCAGTGAGAGACCTTGTCCCCCCCCCCAAAATAAGGTAGAGCAATAGAGAGAGACCCCCAGCACCAACCTCTGACCTCCACTTGCTTGTGATCATGCACCATACACACATGCACACATACTACCACACACACACACACACACACACACACACACACACACACACAGCAAAAGAAAAGAGCGGAAGGTGAGGGATGTTCTTCACAGATTGATGAGCCATGTATCCTTAACTAAGGTCTTTTCTCTTTATGTAGAACGACTGCGTAACTTAGAAGTCATCAACCACACTCACCTGTTTGAGAATGGGACCTGCCAGGTGCACCTGGCCTGTATTGTGGAGAACCCAAATTATACTGTGTCAGTAGGGTGGCAGGCCTCAGGAAACATCTCTTTAGGGGAACCAAACCTCACTATCTCTTGGGACCCGAAGAATTCCAGTGACCAGAGCTACACCTGCAGAGCTGAGAATGCTGTCAGCAATTTGTCAGTCTCTGTCTCCGCCCAGAGTCTTTGCAAAGGTACCACCCACCTCGGGTCTTTCTGGAAGCTTCAGGGAACTGTGCCTGTTATGGATTCACAGCCTATTTAACTGCCTGGACAGTGGCGGTGCGGGCCGCCAAACTGCTGTGGAGAGGGACATGCAGGCTCTGAAACACTGTGCCTCTGTGAGTCTCCTTCCTCTTTCCCTCCCCAAGTCCTATCGCAAGAGCAATGCCTGAGGAGTCAAGATGGCTTTCTCCCTCCCGCAGCCAAGTCCTACCTGTCCTGCTTCCACAAGGCCCCTTAGAAGGCATGACAGAGCCCCAGACTGCAAATATTAATGACCACACCTGCCTCTGGAGGCATCCTAGAAGAGACTCAAGCGATGGTCTGAAATAAAGTCAAAGGAGCCTTCATTTTATGTATCCTAAGAAGTTCTTCCTCCTCCTCTCTCTCCTCTTTCTCCTCCTCCTCCTCATCCTCCTCCTTCTTTTCTTCTTCTTCTTCTTCTTCTTCTTCTTCTTCTTCTTCTTCTTCTTATTCTTCTTATTCTTTTTCTTTTTCTTTTTCTTTTCAGGTATTCTAACTGATCTACACAGGAATGAAAAATGGATTATAATTATTTCTGTAATTATACTCTGCTTTGTGTTCATGGGCATAATATATGCTTGGAAGAAAAAAAGAGGTAAGTTTTCCTTCTGCCTTCTTCTGTCTCCTCTAGGTCTGCAACCATTTAGTCTGTAGCCTCAAATTGTCAAGGGAGGGTAGGCACAACTCTTCTGGCTAAATCCATCCATTGGGATGACTCCTGGGGTGTGGCCAGGCATCTGCTAATATTTCAAGGGAGGTGTCCTACTGAGAAAAACAGAGCCCAGGCTCAGGATCCACTTGCTCACCTGCCCTTCTCTTGGGACCTGTTGCCTTCGACCTCTGGAAAGACACCAGTTGGGAAAGGAGGGAGGAAGTCACGCATTTCAGCTTCTTGCTTTCATTTTTCAGGTTCTTTTCCTTTGGCTAGCCAACATCAAGGTGAGCATTCGGGCTCTCAACTACAAAACTTAAGGCAGACAGGAAGAGATATATGAAAGAGAAGAGAGACTTGCTTGTGGCCATGAGACCTGTAGAGTTCCTCCCAGGCATGTGAGAAACATTACAGTTTTCTACAGCAAAATCAAGACCATTTACTTCCTTTCTGATGCAGAAAATAAGTCCCAGTGAAAAGATCCATGGTCCGCCCATCCACTGCCACCCAATGTACTTCAGGCAAAAATAAGAGTCAAGCATTAAACACTCAAAACCAGGTTTTGTACCATTGATATTCAACCAAGGTTTCGACAGTGGGTAGACACTGCAGAAAAAGAAGGTGTGATAAATACATGTGAATGGGGGCACGTTTCCTGAGCATCATCCCATGGGTGACGGTTTCAAGATACCATTGTTGAAGAGATGGCCCAAGGTCTGGGGTCAGAAGATTTGCATTCCAGCTTCTAGCTCACTGCTTCCTAAGTGACTGTACATTTCTACTAAGCTCTCCTGAGCCTGCCATTCCTAAAAATAGTCTCTAAAATAATCAAATCTGTCACATGGGGCTGTGAAGGCAGTGTCTCAAGACAGCCCATGAACTGTGGTATTTAGTCCTTCGAGTGTTGACATGAGGGAGTCACTGAGACTCTGAGTCATAACAACAACACCCCCACCTCCACCCTAGAAATGAGGTTAAAAATAGCCCGTCTGAAAGTTCTTGTTTCACCTAGAGCTCCAAAGATTGAGAGGTAGGGAGAGTCCTCGAGGAAGGGCAAGCTTGAAACAACTGCTCTGGGGATAAAAGAAAAAATGCTCTGGAGACTAGCAAGAGCCAAGATCCTGTGAGGAGCAACCCCAGAGGCCCGCCAATGACAGTTGTACCTTTCTGTGTTAACCATAGGCTCTTCCCGGGACACAGATACTCCACGCTCTCCAGGGAACACTGTGTATGCACAAGTCATTCACCCAATGCAGGTAAGTCTTTTCAGCTCTGTTCTCCATCCCTGTTTTCACTGTGATGACACACAAACTTGTCATCATAATTGTCAGCTTTATCACTGGAGAAGGCAGCCACGGGGCTAACCATCCCAATGTCTGCCGTGATCACCCCTAAAGGAATATTTACTCTCTCTTGCTTCCCAGTGTTCTCTAATTGCTTAATGCACCAGTAGGTCTTGTCCCTTTAGGGTAACTAGAACCTGCTTGAAAGGACAGATTAGATCTTCTCCCGTTCCTTGCTACACTTGACTAGATCAGAGGAGATTATCTTCTAGGAGGAGCTGTAGAGCGTTGCTAGGAGTGCTTAGAGTAGTGTCTCAAGAGAGGAGGTGGACACAGCACAACTCCACAGTAAAGGAAACTACAGTGTCGTTGAAGGTTAATGTTTAATATTGATTTACCTTTTTGTTAAACAGTGGTTATTCCTCAACCAGCTGTATACCCAAATCACCACACAGAGACAGAATTTATTTAATTAACCTAGAGCACATGCTGGGCAATAGTTACTCCATTCTAAACCTCCAAACCCACATAGTTTCCTCCCATTCAGAGTTCCCACATTATACTTGCTTTTAGTCATATGGTAGGTCCAGTTCATCTCATAGTTCCAAATCCTCTCCCGCCTGATCTCTGTTCTCACTCCCCGCCCCCCATTCGCTTCTCTCTCCTCTCCTCTGGACCAGGATGTCCCACCCTACTCTCTCCATTGCTCAGCATTGGCTGGTTGCTTTATTGAAATTACAGAGAGCAAATGGTGACATGTTTACACAAACTTGAGACAGGTGATGCTTAGAATAAACATCACAATGCAATGTCAGATAGTGGAGTAGAGAAATCAGCATTTGAATGAACAAGGGTAAATTGAACATTATACCAACACTAAAGCAAGAGAATTCCCACATAATAGGATGCCTCAGCCAGGCACCAGGAAATCCTCTGTCCTCACTACCCAGGAGTGACCCAGTTGTAGGGGCACTTTTCTAAATAACTAGGTAGACAGGGAAGCCAGTTCTCAAGTCTGATGAAAAAAAAAAAAAATAAGCCAAAAGAACTTGGTATTCTAAATAATGGAAGTAATTGCCCAAGCAAACACCTCTGGCCCAGCCCTTCACAGGCTTTTAAGCTCCTAAAAGGGAGGACAATAAGGAACATTCACACCACTTACTCTTTTACTATTCCCAGCTCATGCTGGGAGCAAGCGCTCCAAAAAACCCAAAACAGGAATCACTAGCCCATTTCTCAGCTTCTTTTAAAAAGGGGGGAGAAGGGGTCATTACCCTTGGAGAGTTCCTGGGGTCCCAATTCAATTAGTCTCCAAATAGTCCTTCATTAATTTAAAGTATCAAAATATATGAACAGATTCCTCTAGGGCCTGGGGATTTTTTATTTTTGTTGTTATTACTACTGTATCAAGAAAGCCATTCTTTTCTTTCTTTCTTTCTTTCTTTTTTTTTTTTTTTTTTTTGGTTGTTTTTGAGACAGGGTTTCTTTGTGTAGCCTTGGTTGTCCTGGACTCACTTTGTAGACCAGCCCCTGGCCTTGAACTCACAATGACGCTCCTGCCTCTGCCTACCTGGGTGCTGGGGTTAAAGATGTGTGCCACCATGCCCAACTTGAGAGAACCATTCTTAAAATTGGAAATTCCTACGCTTCTGGGTCCCCATAATGACATGGTGACTAGGCCATTAGAATAACAGGAGCAGGCAACATGGGTGGCTCCAGGTATAGCTAGTAAAGACTAAGACAAAAGATATGATGCAATAAGTGTCTGTCATCTAAGTTCTTAAAGCGGGAGGACTGAGCATAGAATCGGATGCAAGAGAAGACTGTTTCTGTCCTTCACAGGACGCCACCTTTCTGTTGCTCTCTAGTTGGGGCCTTTACATTGCTGGGATGTTTTCCTACTTGTCATGAAATGTTGCTAAAACTTCACAGGGTTGAACTGGTGGAGCCTGGTCCCCAGCCCCTCTTGGCACGCCACCTCTTCGGTCATACTGCCTTTCCCTGAAATACGTGTGTGCATATATGGTCGTCTTCGTCTCCATGTGAAGCAAATGCATGTAACCCTTTTTTTGTTTATAGGAAATGGAAATCCCAAAACCCATAAAAAATGATTCCATAACAATATACTCCATAGTTAATCACTCCAGAGAGGTAAATACGTGATTGCTTTATCTTCTTTTATTTTCTATGTATGTGTGTGGATTGTGCTCATGTGTGTGTGGATGGCAAGCCCATCAAGGGCCCTGCTCTATCATTCTCTTACTCTCACACAACAGTGTCTCTCCCTGAATCTGAAGCTAATCCTATGGCTAGAAATCCCAAACAGTCCTCCTGCTTCTGGCCCCTAAAGTGCTAGCATTACAAGTATATGCAAGCTTGTTACGTGGGGACTGGAGATTTGAACTCAGATCCTTATGCTTGCTCAGCAGGCACTTTTATCCACTGAACTAACTTGCCAGACCATATATGTTCTTGTATTTTTACTCTTCTCCCACACCTATGATTTTGCAAATAGAACAAAAGGTCCGTTTTACAGATATCCAAATACTACTGGAAAATAAGGAAGTCTTGAACATTACCAAAATACAAAAGAAGTTTATCTTGGGGCTGGGGTGGTGACTCAGTGGGTAAAAGACAGTTTTCACCAGGCCTGATGACCTGAGTTCAATCCCTAGAACCCGCAGTATAAGAGAGAACCAGTTCCCACAAGACATTCTCTGTGACAGAAGCACACTTGTACACACACGCATTTGCACATACACATACACACTAAATAGGTAGGTAGATGGACAGATAGGTAGATAGAGTGATGAAACTTTAAGTTATCTCATATCAGGATCACCTATTATAGCTACCCTGATTGGTTTTTAATGTAGTCCTGCCTCGGGCCACAATAGCCCTACTTTCTAACCGTCAGGGCTCTAGCGTCCTCTTTGCAGCCATGGTGGGTGCCAGGCTATGGCTCTGATCGCTATTAATCTACTTCTTTTCTCTCCTCATTAAATAAGTCCACTTTTCCCAGGCTGAGTACCGTTAAGGACATCATGTGAACAATTCAAGCAGAACACAGCATCTACTGCTCCCCTGGAAGAGAACAGAGAAGAAGCCTGGTTTCCCAGAGCACTCTGCCTAAACTGGGTTTCCTAATTAGTCCCTTAAGCCTTCCACATTGTTTACAACATGTCATTGAATATTTATTTTTATTTTTAATACTGTTTCCCTCATTAGAGCCTAAGTTTGTGGGAACATCGACAATAATTATTTTATTACTGTAACCATTAACACCTAGAACATTGTAAGTGTTCAGGCAATACTTTTAATAAATAAATGCATATGTAAAGGGTTTGTGTGGTAAATAAATAAGACAATACAGTTGGCTCTCAACTGTGGGTCTACTTCTATGTATCCTATCAACTGCAAACTGAAATGTTTGAGAAAGAATTGTATCTATACTAACTATTTATATATGTTCTTATTATTTTCTTAAGGTAGACATAGGTTCTCTATTATCCTTTACTTTATTTGAGGAACTGGCATCTAGGGATAGCCTAGACATCTCCCAGAAATACCAAGAGATGACTGTAAACCTGAAGCCCTTAGCACAGTTCCTAATGCATTAAAAAGCTCAAGAAACATCAGGTCTAACTGCTAGTTTTGTCTGGGAACTGGAGTCAGGAGTAACCAACACTATCCTCAATTATACAGAAAGTCCCTGGCCAGTCTGGGCTACATGAAACCTTGTCTCAAAAAAAAAAAAAAAAAAAAAAAATCTTATCACTGATATTATCATCGTCATTAAATTTTATTCTCCTGAAGTCACAGAAACTGCTTGAAAGCCTTTAGCATCTAAGGTAGAAAAATCCTAAGTTCAAGGCCAGCCTGGGCTACATAGGAAGTTCCATGACAGTCTAAGCTACACAGCAGGACTCTGTCACAAAAAGTAAAATGAAATAAACGAGGAAAGAGAAAGCATACTACTTGACTATAGTCATGTCATTTCTTGCCTTTGCTCAAGTTTCAAATTCTGTTATTTTAGCCCATGTGAAAAACAATGCTGCTCTGTCCTTGAGAAGCATTTTTGGAAGGAGAAGGGTTTTTAATATGTCTTTTAGTATTTTTTATTTCTCTCAAAAAAATAACACATGCTTATTGTGAATAATTGACACATTCCGAAGCAAAACTTCTCTATGACAGCCAAAATAACTATCATTAATAACTCCTATACTAAAATAGTACTATTTTTACCAAAGTAAAATATTTTCATAATTTTCTCTTGGCTTTCAGTTTATTTTCATTTGTTTTGACTTGTTTTGCTTTTTCTTAACCATGTCCCTTAAGTAACTCTCTGAAGTCAGAATATATAATCCTACTAACATTCATATTTGCTCTTTTTTTCCATTTTATCTACTAGTAGTTGAAAGTCAAGCAATAACTTGAAATGCATATAAGAACTAGGTAAAAGACTTTGTTTTATATTAACTACTCACATACTTTACATTCACACACAAAACACTGTCTGTTGACTTCCTACTATTTGCTAAGACACTTTCCCTGCCTTGTCTTTCTAATGTAAATAAATGTCAACTTTGAATAAATACAAATTCAATAATTTTATCATAATGGCCATATTTTAAAAATTGTAGTTACTGATATAATACGTGAGCATAATAATATTTCCTTTCTCACACAACTTTTTGTTTTTCTTGACATTAATAGTTGCCTTATTTTTCATTGCTTGGTTTTCATTAGACGCATCTTTCTATATCCTCCATTAACTATATAAAAATGATTCTCAATGTGACTCTCCACCTAGTTAAGGGTATTAACTAAGCTGGAGGTTTATATTTTCCTCGGACACTATCCAGGAACATGTGGCCTTCTACTCCATTCTAAGCTGGTTACTTTCTGTGACTGCGGCATAACAACTGTCTTGAGACTTTTTTTTGCATCATCTCAGACAATTCATTAAGACCTTTTGACTCTGAAGTATCCTAATATTTTTATTTCTTCTACATATATTAAAGCACTTACATTATTACAATACAATCTGTTATTCCGTTGGTCTTTAAGACCAAATTCTCATTTTTAAATCAATGTTTTATTTTTGAAAAAATTAGTTTGAAATTGAAATACAATTCTATCATTTCACCCTCCCTCTCCTCCTTCAAGACCTCCCAGCTAACCTCCTTCAAACCCTTTACACACCTCCCAAGTCTCTTTTCTTTTCTTTCTCTCTTTTTTTTGGGGGGGGGGAAATGGGGTGCAGGGGAAGGATTGTTTGTTCGTTTTTTTTGAGTAGAGGTTTCTTTTTGTAGCCCTGGCTATCCTAGAACTTTTTTTGTAGATCAAGCTGGCCTGGAACTCATGTAGATCTGCTTGCCCTTGCTGCCACAGCAATGTGACTAAAGGCATGTGCCACCATGCCCAGCTGCCCCCAACTCTCAGGTTGATAGCCTCCTTTTCTTTGATTATATTTGTTACATACATACATGTGTATATGCATGTGAATACTACATATACGTTCATGAATGCACAAATAAATATAATTTTTAATTAAGCATAAAGTTTTAAATATCCCAGTGCTATCAGAGGCAGCCCATATAAGGAACAGATCTCAAGATGCCAAAGAATGGTGGATCACAGTAGAAAAAAACTAAAATAATGACTGCCAACAATAGAAGAAGAAAACAAAATTCATCAAAGTTAGATCTGTTTTATTTGGTTTTTAGATTTTTTGAGATGGTGTCTCCTGTATCCCAGATTAGCCTTGAGCTCACTGTATGAACTCCTGATCTTCCTGCCTCCACCTCCCCAGTGCTAACATTACAAATGTCTCTTAAATGCTAGCTACTAATGACATTGTCAGCTAAGAAAAATAGAAAAAGAGAGAGAAAAGTTCATCAGGAACAAAGGGGAACAGAGGATTCAAAGAAGAGAAAAAGAAGGTCACCTGTAAGTGCTTACAAGGTGTCCTAAAGCATAAGACTCACTGAATAGATATGAAGTGCCCTCCTTTTTATGTTTATATTCGTGTGTGTGCATGTGAATTTACAGGGTTTATGGGGATCAGAGGATGTCCTAGTTAGAATTACTATTTCTGTGATGAAATATCATCACCAAAAAGCAAGTTGTGGAGGAAAGGGTTTGTTTGGCTTATAGTTCCATATCATGTTCATTACCAAAGGAAGTCAGACAAGAATTCAGATAGGGCAGGAACATGGAGGCAGGGGCTGATGCAGAGGCCAAGGAGGGGTGGTGATTACGAGCTTCCTCCTCATGGCTTGCTCAGTCTGCTTTTCCATAGAACCCAGAACCACCAGCCCAGGGATGGAACTACCCACAACAGGCTGGGCCCTACTCCACCAATCACTATTTAAGAAAATGCCTTACAGGCATGCCTATAACTCTATCTTATGGAGGCATTTTCTTAACTGACTCAGTTTGTGTCAAGTTAACATAAAACTAGTCAGCGCAGAGGACAACTTGAGGGAGTTGGTTCTCTCCTCCCATCATGTGGATGCCAGGGACTCAGCTCAGGTTGCCAGGTTTGGCTTGCAAGTGCCTCAACCTGCTAGCCTTTCCACCAGCCGCTGAAGTGTTTTCATTTACCAACTGATCAATCAATAAGACATCCAGTGACCCTCACAAAGAGAGACGAAATCTATAAAGTTGGGGAAAGTAGAAAAAACACATTCCACAGTTACAGTATCCAAACTAGCAAGTGCCCAAACCAGCAACAGACTTAGGCCTGTGTCTTGGAAAGGACCATCTAGCCATCTGGAACAGGAAATCTACCAGATGCTACCCTGAAGTCTAGACTGCACTGGCAAGGAGCAAAACTGAAACAAAAAGCAGGAACATGTCTACAGCTATCTAAAAGGCGTGAAAACTGAGAAAAACTGAGTTTATGTCTCACAATGGACCGAGTAATAAAACAAGACTTCCTGATCCAGCATTTCCTTCCTTCTTCCAAACCTTCACTCAGTTGCCGATGCCACGATCTCTCCTATTGGCCTCTATGATGCAGCTTTCCTTTGGCTTGCCTCCTTCCTTTCTAGCTGCTTCTCAATCTCCTCACTGAGCTGCCTCTTCTACTACAGGACCCACAAAGAAAATTTGGACTAGGGCTGAGACTAAGAAGCTCCCTTTGCCTCCATCTCCTATCCTTCTCTGATGGGATCATTCCCATTGTTTTAACACCACCTTATATGTTAGTGGATCACAAAATACGGTCTTAATCCCTGGCCTCCCAGCTTCTATCGACTGCCTTCTTGACATCTCCACTTACGTAGCTAGAAAAGTGTATCAAAGTGTTTCTGAATCAAAACTCTCACTTTTTTCCCTCCAATTATTTCCTTCTGTTCATCTTCATATCAGTCAGTAATACCTGATTAGATCACCTGCCTAGGCCTGAAGATCACAGAGAACTCAGAATATACCCATCATTTTCTTTTCTTATAGGAAACAAGTGGCTTTAACCAAACTGTAACTAACCCATTATCCTGCAAGTAAATACCTTAAGACCCAGGTAGCATGCATTGCAAACAGGAAAGAAAATTTCACTGGTCACAAGCTCCTATGAAAAACAATTTTAGCCCTTCCTGAGCAGCTATTGGCAGTTAAGGTCACAGGGGAGGGGAAATCCTACTCCTCAGTGGTGTAGGCACAGGCACATTCACAGATATTCTCAACATATGCTCGTGCAGATAACCCTAATTAAATGCAGTGAATTTCTCTCTCTCTCTCTCTCTCTCACACACACACACACACACACCAGCTATGCCCCCTAGCATACATTACTTGCCACCTCCTGTCCCCACAATATACACATCCTGCTTTCTCCCCCTTCCATCCTTATTCATCATTGTTTTCTCTTCTCCCCTTATCCCCTGGCTCTGAGAGAAGTAGGCAGATGAGTGATAAATGTAAGTGAGAAAAGAGGTGAATATGTTCTCTGTAGTTCAGGGTCCCAGATCCACAAACACACCATCAATCTTCTTTTAAGGCAGTAAGGGACAAACACCACCTCGCCGAGAAGATTAATTTGCTCTTAAATTACCCTCATCTACTCTGTATGCAAAAGCGAATGTTCTCCCCCCCCCCACCCTTAGCAAGAGCGCTATAGTAACTTGAGGGAATTACACAATACTGCCATCTCAGCTCTGGTTTAGATTAGTGAAATCAGTGCGTCTCTGGAGATCGAACACTGTCGTTTGCATTTTCAAACACTTCCTACGTGGCTTTGAGA